CGACCCCTAGAGTCGCTTTGGACTACTTGTACTGTCGTGAATAGCACTCACGCAGAGATGGCTCGCACTCACGGCCGGATCCCCTCCCCCTGTACACCGGTACCTGTTCAGTAGGATGGACGCTGTAACGAGTGGAAATAAGGTATGGCCCCTTTAAGAGCTGCGCGCGCCCTGTTTAACTGTCGGCAGTCTATATTGTATGTGCTCCTCGAACACCACATGTATACGGCGCCGGGTTATTTCTGTTTGATGCTCATTTTATCAGAATTTTATCAGATCTGTTTTTTGCCGTAAAGCAATCCGTTACCTCGCGAGCCCTGATATCACACGATACTTCCTAACACTGAGGCCGGCGGCCCAAAGTTGCAAGGGTGGTTTTGCGGCTCACAGGCACCAGGGGGGTGCGAGACGACCACCATTCAACACGAAATCAGTAATAAACATTACAATGACTCCAAAGCTGTTCGGTTAAGGTAAAAAAGTTACTTAGTTCACCTTTAAACATATTTTTATGGTTTTAGTTTTAGTCGTATCTTCAAAATTGCACCATTTCTAGTCATGATGTCACTACAAATGACTATTTAATGATTATTTCTGAAATAATTATTTCTGTTGCACTGCATCCCACTCTTTTAGTGCTGACACTGTGTTATGCAATTTATTCATATTTGTTGAGATTTATCTTCCTCAGTCCAGTAGCCAGCTTCAGGACACACACACACACACACTGAAGAAAAGTGCTTTGTTACCAAGTTTCACCTAACACAATCCCCACTGTACCCTTGAGCGAGGCACTGATGTCTCCAGCGGGACGGCCTGTTCCTGCCATCAGCACCCTGCAAATTACTCAGATAAAAATAAAAGCTCCTGCTAAATGACGCGGAACCGAGATGAAACCTTGAAATGTATCAGAGCTTTTGAGTGAGCTCGGTGTCGGCGAGGAGAACGTGACTTTCAGTTCTGATGGGACACAACGAGGGAACAACAAAGCCAAATGCAAATAATAATAAAATGCAACCAGTCATATAATCATGCATAGGTATGATAGCACAATAAACAGGCGTTTAAAGCGGGGCAAAGTGTTGTTCACTAGTCGTAATCGCAAGTGTTTTTATCGTTAGCTAAAACTATTTAAAGGGGCTATACGTAGAATTTGGAAACTAGGGATGCACCGATATGAAAATTTTGGCCGATACCGATAACCGATAAATTTTTGGATTTGAAAGCCGATAACCGATATATTGGCCAATAAATCTAAATCCAAATTTTTATATAATTTTTGGAAAGCCAGATAAAAAATACAAAAGCCTCACCATTAAAAGCCACGTCCCCACTGTATTTGGTCTTGTCACAAAATTCAGTTGTTTTGGAAGAAAATTGCAGACCACATTGGCAATATTCTGGTAATGATAATTGATGTTGATCCTTGTTCACTTATTCTAGGTCTGCCGGGCCGGCTGGTATTATTTTGAATAAATATCATAGAAGACTTTTTAGTATTTTAACTTTTGCTGCAAGAACGAACATTTGGATGTTTTGGATAAGTGAGACAACTCCTTCAATTAAAAAATGGCATAACCTTGTGAAAGAGCTCATCCCAATGGAATTTTTAACATGTATATTACATTCCTCTACAGACGTATTCGGTCGGATATGGACACCCTATTTGGACTATTTTTCTCTCACATTGGACGATTGCTTACATTTTTCTTGAAAGCTGTTGTGTTGGCTCAAAACGAGAAGCCTATTCCTGTGAATGTGTATGTATCTTCCCCTGTAACCTATCTATTTATTTTATTTTATTTTATTGAGAATTGATTTGAGAATTTTTTATTTTTTATTTTAGTTTGCTTTGTTCTGTTGGAACAAAACTAACAACATTTTTAAAATATATATATATAAAAAAAAAAAAAAAAAAAAATAAAAGCCACGTCCCAAACACACATGTGTTACACATTATCATGTCTTGATTTAATTATTTTTTAATAGATATATTAGGTATTCATTAATATGTATTTCATGCACATTGTGTTATTTATTTAATGTAGGATGTTTTAATGTATAATGTTTACGTTACTCTATGTGGCCTCATTAATTGCCCCTTGGGGACAAATAAAGTGTTTTGAAATTGAAAAAAAAATTTGAAACACAATTATAATGATGCTCTCATTATAATTTCATGTAGCCGATATGACAGATTTGCACTTAACATTATTTTCCTTTTTGAAGTGATTCCAATCATATTTCAAGCAATTCAAAACCATCATGTTGAACAGTGCGCATCTGAAGCGTCTCAGCTGAGGGAAATAATACAGTATTTATCGGTTTTAATATATCGGACAAATTTTTTTATCGAGCCGATAACGATAACATTAAAAATGAACATATATCGGCCGATACCGATATGGTGGCCGATATATCGGGCATCCCTAGAAACCCTTGTTAATAGCGACACCGGTGGTCATTCAGTGAACTGCAACATATCGCTCCTGCACAGGTAAGGCACTGTACGAGAGACTGAACGTGACTCAAGGCCCCGATATACTGTTAACGAACATCCCGACATCGTCCACGCCGCGGAGAGCGATGTTTAGATGAATATGTACATTTGCCGTGCGTACATTTGGCGATGTGGATTTATTCGCACCAGCTCTGCGATTCAGCGGCATCATGTCGACAGATGACGTAACTGAGAATATAGATGTGCATTAAACGGTTTCAACGCACAACATGGAGGCGAAGAAGCCGTGGATTATCCTGCTTATATCATGTCGTACGCCAGCATTCAAAACTTAAAGCTGTTGCAACGAAATATTTAATCGGAAGGATATAAAAGATGACGGTTATTTCGGTTAGTTGCAGCGCGTTGGATCTAGCATTCGGACGGCTGAGATCTGTCAGACTATAGTTTGGATTAAGCCCTTTTCTTTGCGTGACACGTTGACATTACAGTACAAAACGCCTATTTCGGTATTATCCTGAACATTGTATAAGCATTCGTTAGATGTGTCATTGGTTGAAAGAGAGGAGGGCATACATTTCACATCATTTTGATTTTCCCGTCGAAAACATCCCGAGTCATTCACATAAAAATCAGTCAACAGGCTTTCAATCTAGGAAGTCGTCGAAGGTCTCGTTTTTTAGGTTTTGCTACAAGCTGTTCACAGTAAAAAAAGATTAATACATGGAAATTATTACATATAGCCCTCTAAAAATGTGAATGAAAATTTTGAAATATCTTGCCAAACTGCATTAGCAACATTTAAAATATTGTCAATTTCTCTATTCAGCCTGTGTGATGTTATAAATGTTGTATATGGTTGGATATTACATTCAGTTCATGGAAATATTAATATACTTCAGTATTTATGATTCTATAACAGTTAAATCTGGGTTCTGAAGCAAAACACTTCTGTATATTCATTTTCTCCATTGCCAAGAAACTCTTCAGGAAAGATTTATTGTTGACAAATGAACAGATTTTAAAAAATGAAGTGGAAATCTGTAGTTTTGTCATCATATGTCGTCATCTTGAAAGGTTTATTAACTGCACATTCGCTCCTCCAGCCACTGATTTGTCATCTTCTGGTTTCATCATGGCAGGTTGTGTTTGTTCATTCTCAATCTAGCTGTACGCGTGTGTGTGTGTGTGTCTGTGTGTGTGTGTGTGTGTGTTTGGTAAAGCTTCTCTCCAGGCTGAAAGATGTCGGAGCATAAGCAGCATCTCTGTCCAAATCATTTCATAATAATATGCACAGATTTAGGAAATAATCCTACGGGTTTGGCAACAGCTTTCAGCGTACACGTACTGTTGAATATTGCTGTAAAGTCATGTCATAATGATCGTATTTATGAGATGAGCAGACACAAACACTTCCACAATGTTGTAATTTTAAGATTTTCTTCAAGCCAATTAAAGGATTATGAGTGAAGCTGATTTTCATATGGATCATTGTACATTTTGATTAGCTTTAATGGATTTTTTAACTCTTTTAAAATCCTTCGAAATCTTTGTTATTTTTGTATTATTTATATACTTTTTATAAATATTTTAATTAGCTTTTATTTTTTTATTTTCAGTTTAATTTTTAGTTATTATATGTGCTTTTTTAAAAACGAGTTAAAAGTATTTTTTTAAATAGTTTTAATTTATTTTTATTTCAGTTTAAGTTTTATTTCAGCTCATAACTTTAGTACTTCAACTCATGCCAGTTATTACATTTCGAAATTTACATTTAGTTTAAGTTTTACATTTAATATTTATAATCTATTTTATTTTAGCTTTATTTCAATTAACAACTTTTTTAAAATAGTTTTAGTTAACGATGTGGACTCAAAATTAAGACATCTGAAACTCTTAATGGCTTAATTTTTGGAGTAATTTTATGTGCTTTTGTAAAATGTTAAAATTATTTAAAATATTTTTAATTTACTTTTGTGTGCTTCAGTTTTAGATTGATTTCAGTTAGTAGTTTTAGTACTTCAACTAAAAACATATTTCAGTTACTTGCCAGGGCAACATTTCAAAAAGATCATCTAATAGTTTATTTATTTATTTTTAGCTTTTTTTCCTAATTAACTCAAATGTTTTAGTTAACGATAACAGTGGATTTTTCGGGGCTCCTAAAGTGGCATGGTGGTGGAAATACTATAATATAATATTAGATGGGAGTAAAAAATATATTTAAATGCTTTTGCGTTCTCTCGCAAAACTCTCTTGCAACAAGCGAATGCAAAAGACAACGCAAAAGCATTGAAATATAATTGTTCCATCTCCATGTCACTTTAGGGGCACCATAGCCTCCAAAAACATTTTTTCAAACCCATAAGAACATTCCCTCGGCTAATCAGTTCATCTGGTATTTTCAGCCGGCTAGAGTCAGAGCTAATGATGCCCATATTGTGAATGAATCATTTTCGAGTCGATTCCTTTTAACGAATCATTCAAAACAACAACACATAGACACACATATTCAGATGAGTTACGCATCTACTCTTACCTTCTCTCTGCCGTCGAGCGCCGATCCGTCGGGTCGTGTACGGATGGTGAACGGCGTGGAAAGCCGCAGGAGAATGTTCTGGAAGGAGCAGGGGATTCTGGGAGACACCAGTTCAAAGCTGTTGATGAATGTGAGTGTTCGGTGCGGGTCGCTTTTGGCTTGTTTTCGGAGACCCTCCCCGACCTGCAGAACCTCCATGTTGGGTCCCAGCACCAGGTGGAAGGGAAAAGCCCGGCAAAACGTGCTCAGACCGATGCGCAAATCCAACGGCGAGCGCGACAGCTGGCGGGGGTGTGGAGACGAGGCGGCGGGTTGAGTCCGGACCTCTCGGATGAGGAACGACAAACATGCAGGAGATGAAGATGAAGGTGGAGATGGAGAAGACGAGGGGGAGGAGTCCGCCGAGAGCTCTCCGTCCTCATTGGCTGTGTGAAGCCATGTGGGAGGAGCTTCCTCCACCGAGACATCTGATTGGTAAATGCGCCGGGCGGCGGCTCGGATCAATCCCGGCATGGCCACGCCCACCGTAGGGTCGGGGTTGAAGCAGTGGAGGAGAAGAGTTCGTCCTCCCTCGCTCTGCGCGTTTGTGTCCTCCTCCTGAGGAGCATCTTTGCATAGGAAAGAGGGAGCCTCGGACGAAGCCCGGCGGCCGCAGGACGTCCTGATGTGTTCGAGGAGAGCGTCGAAGCCGTTGAAGAAGTCCTGCAGGTTCCCGCCGAGAGCTCGCAGAACCCTCTCGTTCTCCTCCAGACACAAGCCGAAGAACTCCTCCCCGAACCGGCCGCGGATGGCGGAGAAGTCCACGCCTGTGCACAATAATGCCAAAAATGTGTTTATATTGAATGAAAATACACTACCATTTAATTTAAAAATATATACACTACCGTTCAAAAGTTTGGGGTCAGTGAGAATTTTATTTTTATTTTTTGGAGGAAAGAAATCAATACTTTTATTTATCAAGGACAGTAAAGACATTTATAATGTTACAAAAGATTCTATTTCAAACAAATGCTGTTCTTTTGAACTTTCTATTCATCAAAGAATCCTAAAAAAACAACAAAAAAAACTGTACAACTGACAGACCAACAACTGTTTCAACATTGATAATAATAATAAATGTTTCTTGAGCATCAAATCCTCATATTATACTGATTTGTGAAGGATCATGTGCAGGGGCGTAGAATTTAGTAGGGACGCTAGGGACGTGTCCCTACCAATATCCCGTGACACTGATATATCCCTAGCAATAATTTCGATCAAAACTTAAAATATATTTATGTTGATGTCCCCGTCCCCACCAATTTCAAAATCAAACCTACGCCACTGATCATGTGACACTGAAGACACTGACACTGGTGATGCTGAAAATTCAGCTTTGATCACAGGAATAAATTACACTTTACTATATATTCACACAGAAAACAGCTGATTTACACTGGAATAATATTTAATACTATAACTGATTTTTGTTGTATTTTTAATCAAATAAGCGCAGCCATGGTTAGCAGATGAGAATTCTTTTAAAAGTATTTAAAATCGTACCGACCCCAAACTTTTGAACGGTAGTGTATATATTTCTTTTATATTGTTACAGATATTACAAATAAATGCTGTTCTTTTGAACTTTCTATTCATCAAAGAATCCTGAAAAATAAAACGGATCAGTTTCCACAAAAATATGAACTGTTTTCAACACTGATAATAATCATTAATGTTTCTTGAGCAGCAAATCATCATATTAGAGTGATTTCTGAAGGATCATGTGACACTGAAGACTGGAGTAATGATGGTGAACATGCAGCTGTGATCACAGGAATAAATTACACTTTAACAAATATACACATAGAAAACTGTTATTTTAAAATTGTAATAATATTTCATTGCTGTATTTTTGATCAAGTAAATGCAGCCTCGGTGAGCAGAAGAGACTTTTTTTATGATTTGTTATTTGTAAACAAGAAATAATATAAAACAATATGTAAACAAACCACTAAAACAAAAGCATTCGTTAAAAAAGGAGTTAGTCAATAAAATGGTAACAATATAAACAATAGGCAAGTAAGTAAATAAAATATTGAATAAAATAGTACAAAACATAATCATACATTTTCATTAGGAGCTATTTCATGTTTACCATAACCATTATTTTAATTTCGCCACGTTTGCTTCTACTGTAACTTACAGAAATGCAAAAAAAGTCCCCATTTTCCCAAATTGATATGAGTTTTTCGAGGGCTTATCCGTCCTAAATCTTAAAACGACTCAAAAATCGAAGGCCAAAAGACTTCATTTTAGAGAGTTCAAACTTTTAAACAGTTAAATGAATTCATAATTGTATAAGACATAAAAGCAATACAGCATTTGAAAGCTAATTCAGCACAATGTCACGTTGCTTTTAAAAACGTTGGTGTTTTCATGGAACGCACATTCCCAGATTATTATTGACATTTCCATTGAACACGGCTCATGCAATCTGTATTTAGCAGAACTATCCGCTTTCTAAACATGCTTTTACTTAAAGATGGAAAGTTTAAAGGACTGTCCCCCCCAGCGAAACCATGGATTACCCGTTGAGTGAGTATCTGCGTGAACGCGCGCTGTGAGCCGCTGCTCTACTATGGCAAGCCGTTTTAACTTTTATTCATTTCCAGGATATGAATTGTTGATATCAACAATTACATTTTTTGATATCAACAATTGTATTTTCACTAGTGAAATGTCACCATAGACTGCCATTCAAAATCTATTGTTGATATCAAGAATTGATTTCTTACTAGTAGATAATTCAATAATTACATTGTTACTAGTAAAAATGCGAATTCCTGATATCAATAATTAAATTATCACTAGTCTAAAAATGTCTATTCTTGATATCCACAACTGAATTGCTACTAGTAAAAATGTTCATTTTTGATATCTGAAAATGTATTTCTGATATCAATATTATTTCATATATCTAAAATGGCTTTCTTACTAGTAACAATCACATTCATGATATCAGAAATGAACATTGTCACTAGTGAAAATTGAATTATTGATATCCAAAATGAACATTGTTACTAGTAGCAATTCAATTGTTGATATCAAGAATAGACAATTCAACTAGTGACAATTTAATTCTTGATATCAAAAATAAAGGTTTTTACTAGTAAGAATTGTATTTCTGATATGTGAAATTGGAATTTCAACTAGTAAGAAAAAAATTCTTGATATCAAGAATTGATTTTGAATGGCAGCCTATGGTGACCTTTCACTAGTGAAAATACAATTACAGATATCAAGAATTATAGATTTTACTAGTTGCAATTCAATTGTTGATATCAAGAGTTATCATTTTAACGAGTGAAAATGTAACTGTTGATGTCAAGAATTAGCATTGTTATTAGTGAAAATGTAATTCCTGATATCAAAAATTGACATTGTTACTAGTAGAAATATTATTCCTGATATCAATAATTATAATTTTAACTAGTGAAAATTGAATTGTTGAAATGAAGTATTCATATCCTGGAAATGAATAAAAGTTAAGACGGCTTGCCATAGCTCTGCTGCATGAACGCGAGGTGCGCAGACGAGATGCGCAGTGGCGTTCGCTGGGCAGGGCTCGGTTCAACGCCTCAGTGCGGTTTATTTATAAACTTGTTCTCGTTAGGGATGGCAGAGTTAGTATCTTAGCAACAGCTCGGGAATGGAGACTGCAGCACTGGAGGGAGTTTTTAGGAAAGTGTCAGTGAGTGTGTATTGAGGTCAAAGTTTTGCAGCTAGTGTGTGTGTGTGTGTGTGTGTGCGTGTGAACTAGAACGGCACGGTTTGGTAAAAAAAAAAAACGTGACACTTAAAGCTGCTGTAGGTAGCTTTTGTAAAAAATATTTTTTACGTATTTGTTAAAACTGTCATTATGTCCTGACAGTAGAATATGAGACAGATAATCTGTGAAAAAATCAAGCTGTTCTGGCTCCTCCCAGTGGTCCTATTGCCATTTGCAAGAAATACACGCTCCCGGTCAGAAACAACCAATCAGAGCCAGGAGGAATGTCTTAGCAGTGTCAATCACGCTCGTGTCCGCGCTGATCACACCCCTCTCTTGCACAGCGCGAGCCGTCGTTCAAACTCAAGATTGCCGGCGTGCTGCAGCTGTGCTTATGACGGAGAAACAACCTAAACTGCCAATTCTCGAGTGACACCTGCTCATAAAACAAAGAGGTAAAAGGAAAAAGACCGATGACGATAAACAAGCGAAAAAGAAAGAATTACACAGAGCCCATTGACTCGGTGTCAAAACTCTAGCTGATAAAATGTCACGCACTCTGCAAAGCAACAATTGAAACCTGCTAATTCACTGGCTTGTCATGTTGCTGAAATAATGTACTAGCACACCTTATCTAGCATTATATATCGCTAGAATAATTACTTACATACTGTAACGTTATATTAACGTTATCTTACTAGCTAATTATAACTTATAGAAAGAGTGCAACGTTATAAAGTTACATGTATTGCAAAATACATAATGATTTGAGGACCAAGTTTGTAGTCAAAGTATGGGCAGGCCATAGTCAATGTAAAGCATATTATTGACGTTTAGTCCCTATTAGTGAATGTGCCATATAACTTTTTATCCGCTGTTATCGGTGGCCCTGTTTACTAGCCTGCGCGTTCACGACAGGCTCCGCTGTGGAGGACGAGCTGTGGAGGGAGGGCTGTAGCGCAGCAGAGAGCAAGGGGGTGGGACCTGTAAGTTGTGCTTGTTCAAATTTTCAGGCTAAGTCAACGTTTTCTCAAAACTCCCTACAGCAGCTTTAAACAAACCGAAAGTATAAAAAGTCACGTGCACACTTGTGTATGCATCGCACATGCAGAATATTTTCTATGAAGGATGCAGGACATTTAAACATGTGATCAAGCAGATCGGATCATCAGCCAATCAGGACACGGTGCGTTTACACTCATGTGGCTTCTGTATCCGGATAGCTTAAAGGGGACATATTATGCAAAATTGACTTTTATAATGTTTTCGAACATATTTATGTGTCCGCAGTGTGTGTACACAACCAACCTATTGTGGTATTGTTGTTTTCCCGATAAATCTGAAACGGCGTCTAAAAATGAGCTGTTCAGGGATGTGCTCCAAAGTGATGTCACATTGATTAAGCCCCGCCCATGACTGCTATTGGACTCCGCCCAATTAGCATAGCTCCGCCCCTCAGTGAGCTGTACACAGTCCGCCATGTTTATCTCCTCACCAGAGCATTAAACAGCAGCATTCAAGTAAGAAATGTATTCTTATTAAAGCTACTAAAGTTATTCAGTCACGATTTCTGTTTTGTTTTATTCATATTATATTACGCTGCTGTCACTTTAATACAAAGATCTAATATACACATGTGATTTCTTTCGCTGCTGTTTACATTCACAGACACAACCAACCTTGTGTGTATGACCGCCAGCTTTCCGTGCGCGTGATTCGGGTGTGTGCGCTCAGAAAACCAAATATCAGAAGATAAACTAATATGGCTTTAAAACGCATGCAGATAATAAACTTTCATGATGACGAAGAACTGCAATGTCACAAGAGTGATGGTGATAGAGATGATAATCAAAACCAAACTGATGTTTTAGCTGTCGCAGAGTATCGGATGCACGAGCTGTACAGGCTCCGCCCTCTTCTGGAAAGGGGGCGGGGATCAGCAGCTCATTTGCATTTAAAGAGACATGCACCAAAACAGCATGTCATTCCTTCCACTCAAAAATGGGAAAAGCTTCACAGACACATTCTGTGAACACCCGAGACATGTTTTATATCTTGTAAAAAGGGGCATGATAGGTCACCTTTAAAGTTTTAGTTAACTATATCATCCCTGGTGCACTTACCTAAAATAGTTGCTGTGTATTTCAGTATTCCTGAGATGTCAGTCTGGCTGTCGCAGCGCGAGTTCTCAAACAAACACTTCTGCTCGTCTGACAAGCTTCGTACAAACTCTTGTCCACTGTGTGTGTGAGAGAGAGAGAGGGGGAGAGGGAGAGGGAGGGAGAGAGAGATAGAGAGAGGGAGGGAGAG